TCTAACTCAAAAAAAATGAAAATATCCCCATTTTGATCATTATTCAGAAGACAAAATTAACTACCTGCTCAAACGCTCTAAAACCATGAGACGTTGCACCGCAGGAGTTCACGCAAATTTCTGAAATTCGCTGCATTCTGTTGTGCTGTTATTAAAGTTCGAGGAGGGTGACGAATTTGTGGTCATTTTGAGGGGTCGGTTTGGTTGCGTTTGTCGGTAAGCGCGTGTTATTTGCAATCTGGGATGATTTCTGCACCGACAGAAACTAAAACAATCTTTATTTTTCTCAATGGGGTGTGCGATAGACTTACCTCCACGTGGTACACCCTGGGCAACGTATACTCATTCGGAAAAAAAGTCTATTGACTGGCAGTTGACTTCTCACTTCAAACTACCATCACCTCACTCTATGCCATATTCGACTATTTCCACAGTACTCACCTCACCTTTGTTCTACCTTTGTGTCTGTCTCTTTTACATCTTTGAAACTCTCTTCTGTTCCCCCTCTCCCTCTCGACTTTTTAATTTGATGTTCCTCCTCCCCTCTGTGAAGCCTGAAGTCAACTAAAGGGCTAATGATAACCATCAAGACGCCTGCCATTTGATATAAATAAATTATTTTTCTCAATTAACCGTTGATTTTTTTACTTTTCCAAAACTTTTTGAGGTTGTTGGGAGAAAAGGATTTTCCCCAAACGGGAAGGGGGCTTGATATTCTCTCGGTGTTCCTTTCATACTGGCTGTCATTGTCAAGCATAGCTCCTCGAGAAAGTTTTCCTTTTTACCGGTTGAATCATTCTCTCATAAAACTGTTCTAATCCAATTATATTTCACCCAGCAAATGATGACTTGAGATTGTATAAGGCTTTCAGATAAAACGCGAAAACAGCAAGTCTCTTGAACTCTACGGAATCTGTCATATCTAAATCATTCTAGAACAAAATGAGCCATAACTAATCTAAATTCCGACCTGCTTGAACGCCAGCAATCTCTGTCGCTATGCTGGAACTTAAATGAAAACTGAAAGCCATATTTGTGTTCAGGTGGAAGACAAATGTAAAGTACTCCATCTTATCAAAGCTGATTCTCATTTTGATAGAACAGTACTGTGCGTGGCTGCATAAAATACGTACGAGATGAACAAACGACAAAGTTTTCTGGTGAATTCATATTCAAGATAGTTTAAGGTCATCCGCATTCAATACTGTTAATCTCTAGCTATTCATCTGATTAGAGCACACGAAAAATTGTTCCGTCAGGAACTATCACTCAGTACTTTTCTGCTAAGAGTCGCAAATGTCGAACAGGCATAAAAGGATATAGAGGTTGGAATAAAGTGCATGAATGAAGGAAGCAGGCGGCAACTATCATGACCACTAATCGAGAACCAAGATTGCTCATCTTAATCTAGCCGATGGACAAGTTCTCTCATGTGACATTCAGCAAAATATGCTACTGGCACATAAATAAGTAAGACATAAAGCTGGTTACCAACCATTTTGCTTAAAAATAACAGTTTGTTGCCTCATAATTTTTAAAAAGCATGTAAGCATGTGAAGTAATGTTATCTTGTCTTTTAAAACATTGATCAGACTTAAATCAAGCGTTAATAAAGGTAAGGTAAATTGGCAAGAGTAAGGAATAAAACACAAGATTATTTTCACAGCCTTCGGAGAGGAGAAAGCACTTCAAGATTGCTTCGTGGGCAGAGGTTGCAATTTATTCTCCTTTATTGATTGCTCCAACCATTCAACTGTAATATGTTCTAGATCGTCCTAAAGTATACATGTATAATATATGATTAGTAACTTTTTACTTAAAAGTAATCAGTAGAGCATTCAAATCAGTTGCCCATACCGAGACAGACTTAGCATTGGAAGAAACAGGCCAATCGACAATATGTGTGGCAGACAGATTAGAGGTAAGAAGACCGTCACCAATGACCTTAGCCCCACATGCGACAAGACGGCGATGAAGGTTGTCGAAGGATGGGTCGTCGACAAGTGACTTTGGTACATCAATTACAAATCCATCGAACAGTTCCCGTAGGTATCGAAATCCCATTGTGTCGCGAATACGCATCAAGCGAGGTTTCTAGATTTAACAAGAAGACCAGAAAAAAATTATTTTTCATAAATCGGATTCACATGTTACTTCCAACTTCTACTCATGTAAGAATTCCGAGACCAAATAAAAACGATTGTCAAAAAATTTCATTCAGATATTTGCTTAATAAGAGTGTAGTTTAATGAACCTGAATCGAAGATTTTATGTCTTTCAATATTAACATTCACGACGAAGATTCAGTCTAATTGCATTTGATTGGGTTGGAGAGCGAATGCTGTGAAGTGGAATTAAAATTGCTTCTAGTTGCCCGGCTGGTTAAGCATAACTATTTTTAACAACAAAGAATAACTTGGCGGATTCATTGTTAGCTATAAGCATAAATCGTGTTGCAACTCTGAGTTAACTAGAAATGCAAAGACGTTTTATTGTTGACACGCAGTCTATGAAGGCTGCTTTAGAAGAATAATTCACACGCCTATCTCAATGAAATTGGCACAGCACATGGGGAAATTAAAAGGCAAAATAATAGGATCAAATGGGGGTAGGGCATATCGGCATCGGCTTATTTGGCTCCATCATGAATTTTTCTTGTTGTTTTCTCTCTCTAAACGGGGCTACGTGGGTGTGTGTGAGGTTGACGTCATTTTGGCGTCATTCTAATGGTGAAATTGCGAAAGACGCTTGCAGGTTGCAAAAGCATGTCGGAGCACGTGGCAACAATGGAGGTGAAGAAGAAGAAGAAGAAAAACTGGAGTAAACGTGCGATAACTAACTGAGTTTGGTGACAGCAAGATACTTGTATTGTCGTTGGCACGTTGTCTAAAATATCTACTTGTTTATGCTAAGCAAACAATGGAAAGCTCAATTTAAAATTTAAAGTAGACTTCCTCTTTCTCCCATTTTTAAAGTCTTAACATGACTACAAATTGGGTGTAATAGACCGCAAGTGTATGCTGTTAATAATCTACTAACAAAGGGCTCGGTTACTCCTCAAATAATAAGTACTATTTGGATTTAGTGAAGTGCATGACAGCTTGCAAGCAGAAGAGAAGTTAAAAGACGAAGATGTCCTTCTTGAACTGTTTGAATTCCTTGTAGAGTGGGCTCCTTTGTCCACATCGTTTCCAGGTTAAGTGAGTTGATTTCGATCGAAGCACAGCGCCCCAATCGCACCATTTCCGCCCCCTTCTCCCTTTCTCTTTCTCTCTAATTAGAGAATGCTCATCTGATTTCAAATTTCTGAACTTTGCCTTTTACTACCTATGCCCTCTAGAGCAAGGAAAATTTTCTAAACTCGCTAACTTCTGACAACAGACTAATTAAAACCGAATACGTGCAATATGCTTTTCTTACACTAGGTTCACGGTGGATTCCCACAATCATAAAAAAAATATTAAATATTTAACTTAAACTATGGCTGTAAAAATGAAAATTAAGTTTTCTGAGGAAAGTGTAACGTTGTTTCTATTTCGATAATATTAAAGAAGGGCATTTTGTCTTTTTGCCAAGAACAATTTCAACATCATCAGATATATAATACTTATAACCCTACCTTCGGGAACTTCACGTTGTCATTGACGGCATCCTCGTCATCAGTGTTCTTGTTCTCAATTTCTTTGAAAGCGCGTTTCAGCTCATCTCTCGAAGCCAGCTGATTGGAAGGCATGGAGATCGCTTCTAGCCGCTTGCTCCAGTCCGATTGGTCTTGAGAGGAGGCGAATAGGGACTCTAGCCTTGGCACATCAGTAGCCTCACGCCACGTTCTGTCAGAGATCAGACGGGTCACTCGAGGGAACCGAATAGAGATGCCCTCCAGTCCCCCACCTGCTCCTGCGGTGTGGGCTCCAGCACGGGAAAACTCAGCTCCCGTGATCTCCCAAATCATCGATTTCTACCAACAAAAAATAAACAGACTTCACAGTGCTATGAGGCGATGTGGGGAATCTCCTACTGGGGCTACATTTGATTGTACGTGAGTACAAGCGTTATCGAGACGGGTCCAGTCGCAGACGTCTGTAAACACAAGGCTAACGGTAGTAACACATAAAAGAGCCAACATAATCTTCAATCTTTTGGCAAGAAAAGGTGGTACTCGACAAATCTTCGTTCAAAGGGGAGAACTACACACCGATGAGGTAACTACTCTTAACACTTTCAGCTAAAACAGCTTCTGTGAAATTTCCGAAATGGCTGAAAACATAACGAAGTATAACCTAACTGAAATCTGACAAGCAAAGCTTTTGTTAGAATATATATTTTGCGGGGAATTTACCTTCGGATCGACTACAACGAAATCAGGCACCATGCTGCGGGAGACATTTAACCACTTCGGTACTTTGGAATAGTCCTGCAAGTAAAGGCACGCGCTTAGAGACTACAAAAAGGGTATAAAATCTAGTATTGTTTCCAAAACGATGGGTCACCTTGGAGATCTTGATCATTTTGATTTGCTTCTGCAGTTTGAGCAGAGTTTTGTCGTCAAGACCGTTGCCAACTTTCGTCACCGTGCAGAATTGATTCGTTTGAGGATCGAATGCGCCCATTAGGAAGACCGAAGCCAAGCCCCCTGCAATCACATGAGCGCAACATTAGTTGTCAATTCAACATCAGGAATCGCAGTGAATAACAATCCAAAGGAACCACAAAGATGTCTAAACAGACCGAAAAGCAGCAGGGAATCTTACTTTCTGGGTTTTTTTCTTCAGATGTTTTGCATCAACTGTCATTAGCCGTCCTTGGGGAATTGCAGCAAAAATCTACCTAGGATATTCTCAATTCTTATTGGTTGGTAATTTAATAAAAGCAGGTAATTTTCTATATTTCGTCTTCCAAAGATTAATGGGGGGTGGGAACGATTATGACCAATATTCTTCGGCAAAATACTTAAACAAAGGGAAATTAAGAGTGATTAAATGTAGGCAGACGTCGGAATTCTTGGGTTGCATTCAGAAAATACAACTAACCTCTTCGTTTTCTCACAAAAGGAAAGCGCTGTTATAACCTCCAACTTTCAAATGTTAGGATTCCTGGTTGTGCGCCGAAATTGGGAGCTCTTCAAGCAGAATATTAAGTTGCATATCATGCGACATTAATTCATTAGCATCTTCTAACGGGCGATAGGACGAGTTAACCAGATAATTACTTCCATCAGATAATTCCATTTTATGCATTTCATTGGCTTTCACACACACACACACTCGTCCCCTTATCAAAGTACTAATTGATGTTCCTTTGAGCACCTCACTGAGGCATTGGCCACTGAGATGGTCCACAAAGCCAGATAGCACTGGTTCAATGTTCATTGACGCTTGTCAAGTGAGTGGAATAGCCAAACGCGTCGGTTACATCTAATTGAATTCGAATTGTCTACACCAGTGAGGTTCGATGACGCAAACCTCCACATGAGGTGTGAATTGGAAAACGCCTTTCAAGATGGGTTTAAGAGTTATTTACTTCAATTCCCATATTTCTAATAATATAAAATGTTGTCAACTATTATGGGGGCAAAAAAACTGATTGAGTAGAGATGAGGCTCAACCCACCCTTCTTTCCGGTGCCAAAGTAGGCTCCGAGAACAATGAGGTCAGCTGAGTCGGCCATTGCGCCCTCTCCAAGGTAGTCCTTTTTAATTTTAATCCAATGGCGCTTTCCAGGCTCATAGATGCCCTGAAGAGAACACACTGCAGGATTAAATGGATCGACAGGTTAAATACTTTTTTTTGATTCCAGAAAAATATGCTCTCAATAATATCTGGACAAACATTTTCCGGTAGTCATATTGTTTTTTTGTTGGGGTGGGGGGAGACAGTAGCACAGCGTCTTCCAGGGGAGGAGTATTGTATAAACTGCCGCCAACTCAACTAGCCAGTCTTAATGCGATTGGTCAGTCGGCTCATTAGTGGACAAACGATAAACACAACAGAAATATGCCACCAATACACCAAGATCCATGGGGAACTTCAAATTTTCACTATAGCATTTCCATTTTGACTTGAAGGAGTGATTCTTTAATCTATTACACACGTCATCACTTTCCCTCTGTCTGACACAACTTCAATGACAACGTCATGACCTGCTGATTTATTTGGGAAACAGTAAACGTGGCACGACTTTAAAATGCAAGCCAGTAATACCCACCCCATTTTGTCCACAAGCAATAAGCTTGTACCAACAAATTGCATTAATGAGCTTCTTTTCATAACTTATCAAGTCTAATTTCATTCATTCTCAAGGACGTAATTCTTCTCTACCATATCCACTTTGACGAACTCGGGAATCAAGGCAAGGCGCACACCCACCCAACCCCCCGCCCCCCCCCCTATAAGAGCAGCGAATTGATCTACCAAACATGGGGATCACTGTGACAATCTGCTAGAACAACGCATGTAAGTAATTAAAAAAATGGTAGGAATGTGGATTGTGGTCATGATGGCAAGATGGACATTTTGCGCTCTTAATGCTTCTGGCTTCCTTCCTCCATCATTCATGCATTTCATTCCAACCTTTGTACCCTTTTATACAGATTCAAATGCTCAATTTGAGTCTGTGTGTAGGCCTTCGTCATATTATTAAGGAATTGAGAATAAAAGTGAAATGAGAAGGAAATGGTGGAACAATCGTCACAATGACAAAGACGATCCGTCAACTGATAGACTCCTTTGTGAAGTAAACGAGTACGACAGTTGTTATATGGAAGGGGAATGACTGCAAAATCACATGAAAAGTCGTTACTCGGTTCATACTTGCGCAGAGCGGAGTGAAGTAATGTAAGTCTAGGTTTATATAATTTCACATTGAAACCCAGTCTTTCTGGAGGTCAGGCGAAGTGGGATTTGTCCTGATGATCTGATACACACTTTTACTAAACAAACTACAATTTTCTTTTTAGAACTTCAACATGTTCCCAGGCTGGAAAGTTCCAGGGAGGGAGGGAGGAGGAGGAGGGGGGGTGGTATAAATCAAGCCAGTGTCAGCAAATAACTTTCTAAATGAAATTATCAAGTCAGATAATTAAAACAACATGATGAATTTACGTCGTTTGGTTTAATGACGAGACCTTCCAGTCCCTCGGAGAAGACACGAGCCATCAGCTCATTCAAGTCCTTCTTGGTCTAAAATGATAAGAGTGGAAATCATGCCCTAAATTGCAAATTAAAAGCACTAATAATGGCGATATTAATATTCTTTAATAAACCAATAGAAAATTAGTCTTTATTAGCGTTTTTCTTGTCGATTAAAATGCGCCCAGTCGAATTCACATTTAAGTACAATAAAACTAATTATCGTTTTTACTGACTGTTTCTGTATTCAAGTAAAAACTATCTTTAATGTTAAATTTAACGAATCTATGCATCCTGTAGCCGCTTATCTAATTTGTCCTAGAAGTTGTACTTTCTATTATTTTCAAGGTCAACGAAGAAGAAGTGCATGAGAGGGAGAGTGGGGGAGGGGGGGAGGGGAGGGCGCGTGACTTACGTTGACTTCGTGTTTTTCAGAGAGGAACACGCGATTGGGCACCACGGTCATATTCTGCTCCAAAATTTCGCGTCTTTTCTTGATCGGTCTAAAAGGAGGCAAAAGGAGGTTTAGGTTAGGGGGTAGTTAAATTCGTTGTCGAATCTTAAGGAGTATTCTGAAGGAGTCTCACTCTAGAAGAAGGCTTTTGCCATTGATGTAAAGACAGTCGAACACGAAGAGACAGACAACTGCGTCTTTGAAGGCATTTCGCTATTAAATCATGAATACATTGGATATTATGTGGTTGAGCGGTCTTTAAGGGTGCAATTCCACGCAAACAAACCTTATGAACACCTAAAGTGCCAAAAGGCAAGGGCTTCTGAGTTTTCGTGTCAAACATAAGGACCTCTGAGTCAAGAATCAAATCACTGGCACCTGGAAATGCCTTTGGAATAAACTCCTTCAGGTGCTCCACCTAAAATGAAAGCACAGCTCCTTCACCAACGGCTGATAAGAGCACAGAAGTAGTAGAAATAGTAAAAAGCGAACCTTATGAGATTGAACTGGTTTGAGACTGCGGGAATAGTAGACAAACTTGTTTCCCTGTTTGTGAACCTGAACACGCTCGCCGTCGTATTTTATCTCCACTAGAACACCACCCGAAGAAGCCGCCTTAGCGATGACAACATCTGCAGAACGACCTGGTTCTGCAAGCATAGGTTTCACAGGGGTCATTAGCTTGATGGACACTGAGAGGTTCTTTCGAACTAATTTCAACTTTCCCGTGTCGGATTTTCTCGACTTTTCAACCACCGCTTCGAGATCATGGGAGGCTTGGAAGGCTGCATATGCCTGGGGATTCAGTGCATCCAGTCTAAAGTTGAATTAAGCCCGATTCGTAATGTTAACTTGATCATTAAGGAACCAAAATTCAGTGAAGTATTGAATGACTTTTGCCATTTTATGAATTCAGTAGTCTGCGCTTATGTTGGCTCATCTTTTTTTGCAATTACGAGAAGCGTAGGGCAAAAATGTGCATTTTCTTACGTTGTTAGAATACTGAGTCGATTAGTGAAATTCAAGTACAGACAGCCAGTTCAAATATCATCTCCAAAATCCTGGAGTAAATCCTTCCCTAATTGAAACAGTCAATTCGGGTTACTTAGGAGTGTAAGAGTCAGAATGGAGCCATAAGGACATTAATAAAGAATGAACAACCTAATCTTGTCTTTCCTCTTCAAGTGGTTATTGGAAAATTGAAAGCTTAAAGTCTAAATTATATCTTACTATGGACAAAAATTAATCGCTCATTTTATCAATATTGAGAAGAAGAAAAATTCGAATTTCATTCAAGGAAATAAAATGGTAAAGTGTCCATCAAAATGTATAGATAAAAGACTTCAAATAAAGCACATACACTTGTTTCGATCCAGCGTTTATACGCAAATCCTTCTTAATGAGACGAATGAAGACAAGAAAGTCACTGGCCGTAAACTGTTTTGTGCACTTAGTTAAAACTGCAATTCGAGCATCATCGCCACTCGCTAGAGAGAGATCATCAAGCCACTTGTCGACTTGTTTTAAGGAAACTTTACTAATTTTTTGCGGCTTCAATTCCGAACTCATTTGGAAGAACTTGTGGAGGGTCATAGCGATATCACCTTTCTCCAAGTCCTTCATCATGTCATCTTTGTCCTCATTGAAAATTTCGGAGAAATATTTGACAAGTTGCTTATCTTGTAGATTAAACTTTCGTTGTGAAGTCTTCGGTAAGAGAAGCTTTAAAATAAGAGTAGTTTCATGGTGAATAGTTCCTAAGAAAGTAAATAAAAGATATGTATTTTATTCCTACCACCCGGTCCATCCCTAATAAATCTTGAGATCATCGCAGATCGTTCTTTGTGACCATCGCAGTCAGATAGGGCAGAAATCAGCTCAACGAAATCCTCAAATGTTGTATCTTGATAATAAATATAAAATAATCTTGCTCACCTTCAACTGATGATGTCATTGTGAAATTTTATATGCTGAGGAATTGCAACAATATATAGGTTCAAAGTACGCCAAAATTCCGTCATAGTAAGACCATTGGCTTAAGTTATTTACAATAAGGACAAATTCGATGATGTGGTTGTTTAAAAGAAATAAATGAATTCAACAGAAATTGAGCTTGATTGTTTTAATTTAAAGTTTAGATAATTGTGTATTTTATGATATTTTATTTATATAAATATTTATCTGGGTGTTTCGGTAGAAAAGCTTGATGATTCACTGATTAAAAACAATTTTAACTTGATTCCGCACTTTGCTCTTTAACGCAGCAGTATTCCCATACTACAAAATTAATTTCTTTTTTGGCAATCAATTGAATTTTAATTTATGACTGACAGAAACTAGATACGAAGACTTTAGTAAGTGCTAATTGAACTATTTTATCGAGAAAAGAGTTGGCAGACAAAACTTGAATGTGATCATTCGGAATATCTTAACTACCTTTCTTACTATGTGCCTTTATAGTGAATTTTCTAATGCACTTAAGTCATCTCGATCTAAAGCAGATTTGCATATAGGTATATTATAAAAATATTTGTTATGAAGTCGAATCACATGTCGTGAAGGAATATGAAAATCAAATTTGAATCTAGGATAAATGGGTTCATCTGGCCCCCATATTTTCTAACACTTAAATGGTATAAGTTAAAATAAAGAAAGTTATGCAGACGAAGTGAGCCGAAATATGGGTCATAAAATACATTATGGTAAGTAAATTCGTTGCTTAAGCTTCACATGAAAAGAAAACGCAGGTTAGCGTGATTTCGTGGATGAAAAATACACTCAATTATTGCTTGGCGATACCAACAAATCTGAGATGTCATGGTTCCTAAATATATATTTCATCAGAAAACTTCATTGTTCTACGCTTCAGTGTGTGCAAAATTTTAACTGTTCTGTTTGAATCTATCATAGAACTTTGTTGTGGTCCAAATTTCCACCAATATACAACCTCAATGCAATTGTCTGAGTGGACAAATTGTTAACCAGGTCACTTATCGTGTGTAGTAACCGATCCATTGATCGCAATCTGAGATACTTGCGCTTCTATTCTAGTTTATCCTTATTTTGCATTCCGATGTCCTACTTCTAATTAGGTATCCACAGCTGTGTGCATATATGAGTGTATTTTAGCCTTAATGTTCTTCTGTGCTATTTTTTGTACGAACAACTATTCGTTGTCTGCCTGATCTTAGCCAGAGGCGCACAACGACTTTCAGACGAAAATATTACGTATTGAGAAGAGAAGACATGTGAAGAAATTAGTTGCTCTTCACTGAAAATAAGGAAATATGCAACTTTTTATGCATTTATTAACATACGTCTTAAATTAAGTCACAATTAAGAAAATAACTGAGCTCTGAAATAGGTGGGCTATTTAAGAAGCAAATAATTCTTAAACTCATTCAATGATTTTTAAATGTTTAAGTTAGCTGTCAATGACTAACTTTTTTCAGTGAGGACATAATACCAAGCTATTTGAAATGAAAATTTCCGATATTTATACATATTTTATGATTCAAGCAAAAGATTTTTCATTTGCCAATTAGATCGACGAGAAATCACGACTGTAGTTAATTCTACGATGTGGCAATCACCTCAGATACGGAATTAGGCAATTGAAATACACTTCTGGAATTGGACAATTTATAATGACCTTGAAATCTCTGATTGGCTGATTCTTGTGCGTTGATTGGCAAGTATGTGGAAAAGTTAAACATTTTCTCTTACAATGTTTCCTCTTTTCCTTTTTTCTAAACACGGCCTGTTTGTCTCTTATCCTGGCCTTCTACACTCTAGTCATTTTCTTCCTCGTATTATCGCATTTCTCACAACAGGAACTGATAAAAGTTCCACATAATTCCCTCCATTTTATTGCCTTTGTGCACACGAGACATTCTCTAGCCAATGGGGTATAAGCGCATTCTGGTCAGTGGTTGGCGGACAAAATATCGAACAATTTTATTTGTGCTTTTTTCTTTCGTTGATTTTTCTACACACGAACCTATCTTAACATGGGTATATCATGATAATAACGAAGCGTTTCAATACTATTCGATTGCACCTAAAAGTAGATGAATCGAGGTCTTCTAACTTTAATTCGATTCCTTTCCTAATGGAACCTAATCCACCAACGTGTGTCCCTAATTTGCCTTAACCTAGTAGTGAAACATGACTTGAAAAACAGTGCAGTCACTAACCACGCGATGCAGCGTAGAAGCACTTGCCAGCACTTAGATCAGTATAAAAGGTGAATGCAGAGTCGGATCAGAGAAAAGTTCGCATGCATTCTAAAGCTGCTGAAGATGGAAGTAACCATTTTGTTTGCATGTTTATTTCCCCTCAGCCTTGTTATCTTAAGAGATTGCTTTTTTGCCTTGAGAAGAACTGTGTCATTCGAATCTATCTTGCTTTGTCTCCTAGGTCTATTATTCACTATCTAACAAAATAGTTCCATCAACCAATAATAACTCGAGGCCTTGGGAATGATAAAGCGAGCATCACGTGATCGACTACTTTCCTGGAGTTGTACGAAAAATGGGTCAAATGGATAGATGGCTGTCACTTCATAGCGCTCTAGTTTTATTGCGAAATTCGATTAGCTCGCTGTGACTGGGGCTAATATTGCGTAAGTTAGCGAGAAGCACACCGCATTTGAAGAATGTTTAATTTAAGTTGTTTCAAAAATAAGTGATCCAATTACCAATCCATGATGCTCATATTAGAGTCCTGTAGGGTGTGGTATTTTTGGCAGTTTTTTTGCATTAAATATATGCTCAAAAGTGAATAAATTTACTGGCCTTTTGAAAACTTGCAAACAGAGCTAAGACACTTAAGACTTGGGGTTGTCGGGGGAGGGAGGGGGGGGGGTGAACCATTGCAGAGATATTAAAGGTTCATCAAAATGAAGTTGCCCATTTTAGATTCCCTTTCATAATTTGACGGTTGCAGAGGGTTGCATGATTCAAGTCCAACACTAAGGGGGTTCCACCTTAACACATTCTACCGCCCCCCTCCCTCCCCTCCCCCCACGACATGAGTTGGCAAGCGCCTTCCCAGTTGGCTCTGGCAGTTATGTAGTAAGAATTCTCCGAATGCAAGAAGTGATAGAAGTCGCAGATTACAAAAAACTGATGCTCTTCTTTTAGGCTGTTGGCAGATGTTATTAGAAATAGTCGGTTGTCAAATTACTTGTGGACAGAAATCGGGTGGCTGTCTGAAACCATTTAGCATTATTTTCTACTTAACAGATGCGTTTGGTGATTTCTACCACTGAAAATGCAAAGTGAGCATCAAATTCATGTCGATAGATATCAAAACGGCGCTGACTAAATCCTTTGGTGAGGCAATTAATTCACGTGAGTGCTTCCAAACCGATGGCACGTAACAAATAAAGTAGCCTTGTATAATTGTTCTCATGCCATTTATAACCAAAAAAGCTTTTAATGAAGGTCAAGGAACGCTGTGGCGGTCACGTGCATTATCGATTTTGAATTTCCACTATTTTATTTGGGAATCCTGTCCATTGACTATTCAGGCAGTCGATCACTGTCAACATCTCCGAATGCATGCTGGCAAAATGTTTAATTTTCATGAAGAAAACCAAATGGCCAGCGAGCATCCAATTAGAGAGAGTGAGGGGGGGGGGAGGAAAGTATTTCCGACTGTCCTTGTTCGTCTTCTTCCTGAATTTTCCCGAGGCGATGATGATTTACGATCGATCTGTAGGCAGTTGCTATGACTGCCACATGAAAATAAAGAGAAGGGGCGGGTAATGGAAAGCTTCATATAATGAGATATGATAAAAAAGAACTTGATAAAATATTCTTTAAAGGGTAAATACCAGTTTTCGAGAAAAATTTAGGAGAAAAGATAGGGATACAGAACAATTCATTAATTCAAAATCTAGAAGGCGTTGCCACAACCATCTTTATATTTTAAAGAGAGCTGTGCGACAGACTTACCTCCACGTGGTGCATCCTGGGCAACGTATACTCATACAGCAGAAAAGTCTATTAATCGGCAGTTGACTTCTCGCTTTGAAATACCATTACCTCATTGTATGCCATATTCGACTATTTTCACAGGTCTCACTTCACCTTTTTTCTGCCTTTTCTACCTTCGTTTTTGAATCACACTTTTGTACCCTCCCCTCTCAAATTTTTTTTCAAGTTGATGTTCCTCCTCCCCTCTGTGAAGCCTGAAGTCAACTAAAGGGCTACTGATAACCACCAAAACGCCTGCCATTTGATATAAATAAATAAATATTTTAAAGAAGTTCTGTTTGTCAGAACCTATGATTCACAACGAGTTCATTTCATCTTTTATTGGGGGGTCGAGATTAATACTATGATACAAGTTAATGTAGGTTTTAGCGTAGCAGACTATAGAAGACATGAGAATCCATTTTCTAGGACAATAGATTTGTAGACTATTGCACTTTAATTGATAGATCTCGCCAAGCGTTTTGCTAACACCTGAGTAGTGATTTTGATTGGTTCTTTATTCTATAACACCACATAGTAAGACTAGTCGCTAATGCTCGTCTGTCTAGCAGAAACTGTGGCGTACCAGCTCAGTATCGACTCTCCGATCCTTCCTCCAAACCCTCTTCCTTCTCATCAATTTCCAATGGTCCCCTTACTTAGTGAACGTCTTGTTAACTAGGGGACTGTCTAACTGTGAAATGCCCTTACTTGGAAATAGTGCTGATTTTGGTATCAATTACTGCGACTCCATCTCTGAGGTCACTGGAACGGATGTTATTTAAGGTGCCCACGGAAAGATTCAATCACATAGCCGAGTTTGTTAACAAATTAATTAGTTTCCTGTCAAAGGGAAGGAGAAGACCTCCTTGCTGACGTTCAAGCAAATTACCTTCTTCTACTTCGTTCATGGAAACAAATATGCAAAGTCGGTTCTTACAAAGATGGAGATGAAGAATATGAGGGTTACATA